CCGGAATACCGATGTCGTTTCCGTTTCCGACATTACCGTATCATTTTCGTTTTCGAGAAAAAAATATGAAAGTGGAAATGGTTGAGCCCTATGCCGATCGTTTCCGATCGTAATCATCCCTATGGGCAGGGGATCAAAATTTATAACACAAAATGAAGGCAAAATAAGTAAAAGGACTAAACTGCATATACACAAAACATTTTGCGTTCATGAACAGTGTTGTTATGTGATTGTTAACAACGATGTAATCTATGATTAAGGAAGTAATTTGGAAAGATTTGAACGTAAAGCATGTAAAATTGCATCAGCAATGGCCCCGGTCCGAGGTGAACCGAGGTGAAGAGCCGTGAAGGGCTTTTACGTGCTATGTGGTAAAGAGTTTACAGTTCGGTAATTTGAGAAAACCGAGATCCTTTTACAATTGTCATAGGTCCGCTATTTATAGTAGTTTTTGGGTTGAGGCATCGGGATCCGTGTGCTACTTTTTGGAATAAAGTAGCTTTTTATGGGCGGTTCGAGGCAGAGGGTCCCACGCAAATGATGACAGATCTTGTGGAGTAGGAGGACCTCACGTAGACGCCTTGTCACCTGCTTAAGGAGATGACGACCTCGGTTCATGTTGTCCTCGGGGGATGTTGACCTCGGTAATCGTCGGTCACTTCGGTCTTTGGTGATTCAGACCGGTTCTCTGGTGTAGATCGGTGCGGTTATGATTCATGTCGGTTTAACTGTTAATTGCGTTTAATAAGATGCTCAAAACCTCTTAACAGCGTCTTGCCGAGTCGGATGATAACAAACAGTAAAAACGTAAAATTGCGTTTGTAGTAGGGACAAACACACCAAATACCCATTTTGGGTTTGCGTTTAGCGATCGGTTGGAGCAAATTTGAGTTTGCGTTTGCGTTTTTGGCATCGGTTGGAGATGCTCTAAGCCGTCAGATTATACGTACACGTATAGTAGAGTGAAATCCAACCGTTCATCAGAGTGTAAGTTCTTGTGTGAGCTGTCATTTTTTTAACAATAATTCATACTTTATATTATGAAATATTTTACATTTATTTATGTTTTTTTTTTAAGTATGACATAACTATTGCATACATCTACCATTAACCTTACTATTTTTTTTTTTTATCTTTTAGTGCTTGGAAGTATATGAAGTTGGAACTATTTGCGTTGAATAAAATACTTTCAAGTTGGATGAAATGCAAAAGCTGTAAATAAAATCAACAAGAAAAAATGCCCATAGTTTGCATCATTAGTATGAAATCATATTTCAATTATATATATATATATATTAAATAATCTTCTTAACTTTATTTAAAATGGTTTGCATCTAAGTTCCCTTAACTCTCCACATAACAACACATATATAGTTGATCATGATTAAAAATGTGTTTGAATAGATATATTTAAAAAATGTGTTAATCTCTAACCATAATTTATCATCAATTCACTTCAAATACAAATGTTTGATTATATTATTTTGACAGAGGATCACTTGTACTTTTGAAAAAAATAAATACTGATAAAAATATTTTATTTTCATTTTATTTTTTTCTAAAAAAAACACATATCATTGATAAATAAAGACATACTTATTAAAATGGAGAATGCTGCCATTCTATTACGAGATGGCTCCCTTGTGTTTTCTAGACATAGATATACATGTAATCTAGTGATGAATAGTTAATCCAACGCTTAAAAACACAAGGGAACCATCCCGTAACGAGATGGTATTATTATCATGTTAAAATAGTGGAAGACACCAAAGTCCTGTTACATAACCATTCCGTCGTGATTTGTAACCGTTAGATCAACTATTTCTGACGGTTACATGATGATCTAACAGTTACAAAACCTGACGGAATGGTTCCGTAACCTGACCTTAGCATTTATCTAGAATAGTATAATTATCTACCGATTAGGTCTAATACTTGTATAATACTTATTAAAATAATTTTTATATTTCTTTATTTTCATTGGATATATAGTTTGGGGGAAATGCTACGGTCTCGTTACGGAACCATTCTCTCGGGGTCTGTAACCGTTAGATCATCATGTAACCGTCGGGAATAGTTGATCTAACGGTTAAAAACCCCGATGAGATGATTTCGTAACGGGACCGTAGTATCTCCCGAGTGTTTTTGGACCAAGTTTCTGCTTTGCCCGGCTGCTGGAATAAATTAAAATGAAACAAAAAAAGTAAGCTAAAATTTGAAAAATACAAGACTTTGGTCACACACAGCACGTGTGTTTTTTACAGTAGTTCGCGTAAACTTTCATTAACCTTAACCCCCTAGCACTCGAATTTTGTTCATCATCTTCGCCTCAAAATATATAGAAGAAAGCATATACTATTAATATAAAATTTAATTTATTTTAATTTAATTTACTCTCAAAAAAATCTTTATTATTTACATTCAGCTCGAATTCTTGAGCACTTAATTCACGCAGTTTAGCTGGGTTTTGGACGGCCGGCTATGGCCGGCGGGTTTTTGTTCCTGATGGCTGCGCTGGCGGCCGCCGCCGTCGCGGCGCCGGATTTGAGCGGCGGCGGCGGGTTTCGAGGGGTCCTGACCCTGGAGAGGGCTTTTACGGCCGGGGAGGGGGCGGAGCTGGAGGCGGCGAAGGCTCGAGACCGCGCGAGGCACGCGCGGGTGCTGCAGGGATTCTCCGGCGGCATCGTGGATTTTCCGGTCAGTGGCACGTCGGATCCCTACGCCGTTGGGTAAATTTTGCAGCAATCTCTTTGGAACTGTGTGTATTTTTTTTAATATATCCCGAATCTGTTGGTTATGTTGGTTGGGAGATTTGGTGAAAAGCGTTTTCTCCTGTTATTTAGTCCGATGGTAATGGGTAAGAGCTCGAGAAATTTATGTATATTCGTGATTTTGGACATCAGTTGGTTGAATTAGGCTGATTAAGTATGATTTTGATAGGTAATGGAGCTTTGTGATGGTAAGTTTGTGATGTAGGAGATGGGAAATGTTTTCTGAACTTTCATGGAGGTCCTGATTTTCATTCTTTATGATTTATTGAAAAATTTCCATTTTTTTTGAGTGTGTGAGAACTGATATGTGGTTGTTCTAAATTTGCTATGAGTAACCCATATGTGATTGTCTAATAGTAGTGAATTATATTCATGTTCAGACTTTATTACACCAAAGTAAAGTTGGGATCTCCACCTAGGGAGTTCAACGTGCAAATCGATACTGGGAGTGACATCTTGTGGGTCACTTGTAGTTCATGTGAAAATTGTCCACGCAATAGTGGATTAGGGGTAACAAGATTCATCCTCTTTACCTTATTATTAGCTCCCCCTGAACTTAGTTTAGTATTTTGGGGTAGCTTATTTTTAATGAAGTGTCTGCAATTTGCTTGCAGATTCCTCTAAACTTCTTTGATGCTGGCACATCATCGACTGTCTCGCCTATTTCCTGTTCAGATAGACTTTGTGCTGCCTTTGTTCGAACGGCTTCTGCTGAGTGCTCAGCCGAAAACAATCAGTGTGACTACATTTTCCAGTATGGGGACGGGAGTGGAACCACCGGTTATTATGTGTCAGACGTGCTCTATTTTGATTCCATTCTGGGTACTTCGTCAATAGTCAACTCATCAGCTACTGTTGTGTTTGGGTAATAAGCTGATTTTATGACTCCATTGTGTTAATGTGTAGCCTTAGGTTTTCATAATGGTAGTTTACATAGTAGCAATTTGAATCCTTGATCTTGACGTGTATTGAATTCGGTATCTTCTAGAGGCTGTTTGGTTTGGGTAAAGCTTATTACAAATTGGAGCGTTTGGAATGAAAAAAAGGATGATGAATCTTTTTAACTGAAGAGCTTAAAAATGAAGATCTTATAAGGTCTGGCAACATCCACACAGTTTCTTCATCTGTCTTCTTAATCGCTTAGAGCTTAATCAAATAGAAGGTTTAATGTTGTGGTTCATCAGATGCTAACTATAGATGACACCACTTATGTATATGGATGGTTTTGTTTCTCGCGTGAAACAGATGCAGCACGTCACTTTCTGGGGACCTGACTAAGTCAGATAGAGCAGTTGATGGGATATTTGGTTTCGGCAGGCAAGGTCTTTCAGTAATATCACAGCTGTCAACACTCGGGATCACGCCCAGAATATTTTCCCATTGCTTGAAAGGAGGGGGCAGTGGTGGCGGTATACTGGTTCTTGGCCAGATTTTGGACCCTAGAATTGTTTACACTCCCTTAGTTCCATCACAGTAAGTAAATTCACAATTTGGAAGTGTTTTTTTATAAGATTTGTATACTTATTTTTGCTTTATTTGTTTTTTACTTTACTTGTTGGTTGCGGAAAAAAATAGTGATTGTCCATCATTTTATTTCTGACAATACTTTTGAACATGTTCGCCACTTGCCAGTAGTTTCCTCCAGTCATTTTTCCAGTAGAAAATGATGTGATGATTTGCCTGCATTGTGTAGATATTATGAACTGAATTGAGAACATAGGAAGATTTGTGATTCTGTGTTTGACTTTTCGTGTTTAATATTTCAGGCCTCATTATAATTTATATCTGCATAACATTGCTGTCAATGGCCAATTGCTACCTATTGATCAAGCAGTTTTTACCACATCAGGCAACCAAGGAACAATAATTGATTCTGGGACAACTCTGGCGTATCTCATTGAAGGAGCTTATGATCCTTTGGTTAGTGCTGTAAGTATCCCACCCACCTTAAACCACCAAAATCACTTGTGTCTCATTTAACGTATTTAGTTTTTAAATGAAGCCAGCCTGCATTGAATAGCAGTGGGTATATCCACACATCAATCGTCCCTAAGGTTTAGCTTATATTAGTTCACAGAAAAGCGGTACGCTATTGGAAAGATGATTGGTGGTTCTCTTTTCTTTTCTGTGCATGCGTGTCATATTGTAATTACGCTTAACCTCACAGACGGATTTTTCATTTGTTCATGAAAAGAAAAGGAGAAAGTTCCTTTTCGAAAATAGGTTCAGAAATCTCTCGTTATATTCTGATTTTAAACTAATCATTTGGCTGCCTAAAGAGTTCATGTTTTCTAACATGGTACTGTAGCAAACTTGAATCTCTTGGTAAATGTACTTACAAAGTTTGTTGGAACTCCTTTGCTAATGATTTTTACTGCAACTTCAGATAACCAATGCCGTCTTACCATCAGCTAGACCAATTATATCTCGAGGGAATCAATGTTATCTAGTGACCACAAGGTTCGTTCAATTTCTTATAACTTAAAATAGGTACATATGAGTGATATTCATGTTCAGACTATTTCGGGGAAGAAGGAATTTAAGATGCATCTTTAGGGAAACTTGAATAAGATTTTTACCTCTTGTCTGGAGCAGTGTAGGCGAGATTTTTCCTACAGTTGCTTTCAATTTTGCTGGGGACGCGACCTTGATTTTGAGACCAATCGACTATCTTGTGCACATGGGATTTATAGTGAGTCTTTTAATTTTTCCCCACATATTTTTTAATATTTCTCTCAAGAGTTTGGGCAAATGCTGTTCTAGTTGTGATACAACTGAAAGGTAATCAGAATTCAAATGAAAAAAAAAAAAAAAAAAAACTCGAGGTTCATTCAATTACACAATTATCAACTATATTTCAAAATTGGAAATGCCTTTCTTTAACATGAAGAATACTTCTAGGGAATTTATTTTATGCAGTTGCTAACTGGTGCAGAAAAATACTGGCTACTGTTTCTTGTCAGGATGACGCTCCAATGTGGTGCATGGGCTTTGTCAAAGTTTCGAATAAAGGAACGACAATTTTAGGAGGTCAGTTGCCTCTACCATTGCTGGAAATGTGGTTAATAGTTAATTGCCTAAATTTACCTTCTGTTATATCTTCCCGTTGTAACCTCAATCAATTTCACCTCCCAAAGTCAAAGCCTTGAACTTTTTTTTTTTCATTTTCCTTTTTTTCCAGATCTTGTTCTTAAAGATAAAATCTTCGTTTATGACCTCGCTCATCAGAGAATAGGATGGGCAGACTATGAGTGTAAGTTCCATTCATTCTATCAAAATCGTTTTATCCTCGTATAACAACACGTCCAAGAAGTAGTCTTGAGGCCCGTAATATTTTGTTGTTTTGCAAATCATCAGATCCTCTATTTCGGATATTTCATATTTGCAAAAAAAAAAAAAAAAAAAAAATCATATATTTGGGTAATTTTTCGTCAGGTTCTTTGTCTGTGAACGTCTCGTTGACCTCGGGCAGAGACGAGTACGTGAATGCTGGGCAGATGAGTGTAACCAGTAGAAGCACATCATCAATGCACAGGAATTATAATGCTCTTTTGCTGAATTTATTTGTAATTCTTGGGCCTGTATTCTTGTAAATTATAATTTCGCCCCCCCACGCGCACACCCATATTTTTTCTTTTTTCTTTTTTGGCTTCATTTTTGTAGAGTCCTCGTCTTTCAAGAGTAGCTGTGTGTGTGTGTGTTGTGTGGGATTTGTGTTGAATCATAAAACTAAGGAAATCAGTAGTGAATAGCGATTCCATTTTTCATTCCTTAACATTGGATAATGTGTCTATTTTGTAACAACTTGTAAATTATTTCACACTCTTAACGAGTAATTTGTAGTGACAGCAGATTTGCCTTTATGCAGAACAAAATATGTAGCTGTTCATTTCATTATTTTATTTTATTTTTAAATCTACATTTTAGTGTATGGCATGAAAAAAATTTGTTGGAATAAATAGAAGATATATGGATTTATTGAAATTTACTAGTACAACACCTGTGTATTATACGGATGCTTGTTGATTTTTTCTTTAAAATCTAAAATTAATGAGAAAATATAGTTGAAAATTAAATACATTTTATAAAAATATATATTTTTATATATTTAGTATGACACTTTTTATTTGTGTGACTTACTTGTGTTATATTATAATAATTTTTTTTTTTTTTTTTTTTT